ACAATTCTTCATAAATCTCATCTTTGATTGATGAACTACTTATTGCCTGTTTTATAACCAGCTCAAAAGTTCAGCACGAGGTGAAGATGACAGCCTACAGAGACTTCTGTAAAACTATGGAGAACCAGCTGGATGATTATCTTCTTAATGATCTAAAGGTTTTTTTTTTAAGTTTTGCCTCTATTCATCGGTCCGTTTGTTTTGCTCTAATATGCCGCACTCATCCGCCATCACACAAGTTGTTTGAGTACTCAGAATTATCTTTCAATTCATGTATTTGCAACTTATGACGTTCTGAATCTGTATTATTTGACTATTTTTTATTACCAAATCATCGCAATTTAATTTTGTAACATTAATTGTTTGGAATAAAAAATAAATACACAATGCAAATATAATGAAAAAAAAACTTCCGTTACCATCACCACTGAACCACAGCTGTGCCTGGAAGATGATGTGAAGCTCTTCTCCTATCTCATTCCTGACATATACTCCCAGGTTCTCATTTTTCAGTATGATACATATCCTTAAGTCTGCAATGGAATGATTTTATAGTGTAGCTTTATTTTTAAGGGTAAAAATTTCTGAATAATAAATAATACTTATGGATTAATAAATAAATAAGTTAATTAATAAATTAATAAATTAATTTGGTTAATAAAGTTTCCTTCAGTAGCTGTGGGGAATGTTGAGTTGCTTCATATGATTGTGTCATCAATAGACGGATTGCAGGTAGGTTTGCTGCATTGTTCATGTTATTTATGTTGTATTTATTGTTGATGTCATCTATGTTGTTGTTGTTGATGTCATCTATGTTGTTGTTGTTGTTGACGTCATCTGTGTTGTTGTTGATGTCATTTATGCTGTTGTTGTGTTGTTATTGTGTTATTCTTATGTAAGCTATGTTTTTGATCTTTAATTTTTCCTCTATGCCATCAATGAAGTTAGAGTAAATGTGGTTTCTGTTTGCATTGTATCAGTGTGTATGATTGAATGAATGATGGTATGGACGTTTTCATCAATCTGTTTGATGTTAATTCTTTTTTAATGTTAAGTTTTAAGTTGAAATGAAAGGTTGTTTTTGTACCATTTGACTTTAAACTCTTCAAACCAATTGTCTCAAATGCTTCTATTTTAAGTATCTAATTTTTAATTTGTCTCCCCCCCCCCCCCCGAATTAGTTGCAGGATTTGATATGCGAGGTGTTGCAGGGACATTTAGTGATGTTCTCAAAAGATTCATTTCTTTCCATATTAAGTTAGTTTTTATTTGTCTTTGTCTGATCAATTATTTAACTAAGTATAATGTTATCAAATGTAGGCCAAAACAGTGTAAATTTCATTGTAAACTGAAACTGATAAAGTTATGCGTACCAAACGAATTATTAAGAATGATAACTGAAATTTTTATCATATATTACTTATCATCTCGGCATTTTTTATAATATTAATTATTTAAATGAATCACCTATGCTATTGTTTTATCCAGCACACTAATCACGTCACATGACATGACGTCATATCATACACTGCATCACGTCACATATGACATCATATCATCGCTACATCACATCATATGATTGCACTGCACATTCCTCCACGCAGATGCCAGTTTAGAGTGGGAGACAATAGAGCAGTACTTCTTATGGCAGTTGATCTCTTCACATAACATCCCCATCAACCTGGTCATGCCTGTCCTTCCTAAACTTGATTTCGTAGGTGAGGAGGAGTCCTTTACTGCATGGAATGCTTTTTGCTTTTTATTTGTTTTTTATTTTACATTTTGTCTTGGTCATCACCCCTTTTTTTGGATGTAATACTAAATAGCTCAGGGAACTTAGTTTGATTACATATCAGAAAAGCTATTGTTTATTACAGCACATGCTGAAGCGATCTCGAGCATCATGATTCTCTTGAAGCAAGACAGGTTGATTGCTTGCCACTTTGTTTTTTTTTATTTTCCTCTGATTATACTCGGTCTTTTTAAAATTAATTCAAGTAGCATAAGTAGGATAAATATGAAATAGTGTGAATAACCTCTGAGGAACATCTAAGGGAGAATAATAATAATAATAGAATATCTAAGGAAGAATAATAATAATATTATAATGATAAATGTATGGTTTTGTTGCTCAGAATGAAAAAAATGTAATGTAGCATAACGTACAATTATCGAACAGTCCGACGGCTGAAATTTTGCGACCACTTTTGTGTCGAGAGTGCAAGAAGAATGACCTCTTCACAGTGTCACTATTGAGGTTCTGGGCCCAGGAATACGGGGATAAGTTGGCAGATCTGCTCCACAACCAACTCACACGAATCAATGGAACTCCCACCAAGAAAAAAATTGGGTCGGTTAAGTGGATGCAATCATGCACGTGTGGTTAATTTGATGGATGACGAGTATATATTCACGTGGAAGGCTCTTTATTGTTACGTTACAACTTTATCAATTGTTGATGTTTTTATGCTCCACTTTACTGCCACCAAACTTTAGATTGTTTTAACTGTATTGAATAACAGCAAAGCAATGTTTGGAGATGAAGATTGTATGTGTTGTGTACAATTTCATCTGTTGAATAATTAATATAATTGCATGGTTATCTATCAGTTTATTAATTTACTTATGCCATCATTTCAGTCGAACCCATCCCTCTGCTGCCAGCAAGATGAAGGACAAGGATCAACCAACCATTGAACAAATTTTATCTCACCTCGATCACATGAGACTCACTTGTAAAGATATCTCTTGTTAGTTCTTACCATTGATGCCGTATTGCATTTTCTAAGTTGAATGGTGGTTTAATACAAACGAAACGAATGAGCGTGTGAGCAATTATTTGCAATAATGTAACTGTTGATTGGTTACTTATTGTTTGATAAATCATTTCGAGTTTCCTGGTGCATTAGATATTGATTGTTATAATTATTAATTTAAATTATTATCATTAAATTCTTAAAACTTGATCCTTTTAAAGCTTTATTAATCAAATAGTAGTTAACATGGTTAAATTTAATCAGTTTTTTTTTTCATAAAAATTTTCAGAGTATATTTATTATCAATGGTCACAATGTATCATAATGCAATAGTTATTCTATTGTTGATTATCATTTCACTTAGTCCTGTCAAATGAATCGATCCAACAAGCCCTGCAGAGTGTCCAAACATCATGTTCAGATACCTTAAAAGTCAAGTTAGTTTAATTGTTACATTATCCTTATCTGTCATACTTTTAACTTTGTGAACCTACCTAATTAATTTATCATTAGATAATGTTAGAAATAATCCTGAGCTAACGTTTTGATGGTTTATAAAATATTTTTTATTTATTCATCATCATCAATTCCATCTGATGACTAGCTCTCTCAACCTGGCATGTCATGTGATCGTTTCTAGGCTGAAAATCTTTCTTTAGATATATCTTTGTAATGGCTGAATGATTTTATGACCAGCTTGTTTGTTGGATAGAAAAATAGGTTGATATTAGCCCCAGCAATTTGCTTCAACATATTTTCCTTTCAATATTAACAGCCCATGAGTGTCCAGAACTGGACTAATGCCAGTTGACATTCATTATGGTTTGTTGTGCATGGCTTGCTATTGTCATAGAAGAGCAGGATTCAGGCCCATAATAAATTCCAATATAGAAATGACATCTGCGATATATTATAATTTTGTGGACGGAGAAGATTCTTAATCAGAATGCCATCCCTTTGTTGAATTACCATGGGCCATAATCGATCATTATTAATTAATTAGATGCATATTAAATAAATTATACTTTTATAGATATGGAGATTTGCTGGCCTTAGTGGAAGATGTCGAGGAATCAAAGTCAACACGGGTCCTTCGTCAGGTACCCAGCAGGAGGGCCTCACAAGCTGCCACAAAGTCTGCTGGCGGAGGAGTGTCAGGTTCTAATAAGTTGGGCAAACGAGGTGCACCTGATGACAGTGACACGAGCTCTGATACATCAGAGGTATTACGTTTTTCTTTGCTTCTGGTTGGTTTTTTAACTAAATATGGTTTTTTTTATTTTATTAATTTTTAAGATAATGTTTTCACTATTCAACAACACGTCTGTGAACGTTTAACATCTTATAGTTAACTTTTTTGTATGCACAACAATTAGAATTTTAAAAATCGGCTATGTTATTTCGTGGTAGTTTATTCTATCAATATTATTTTTCAGGACGAAGAAAGTTTACATATCTCCAAATCCAAAAAAAGTAAACGAAATCTAATATTCGAGGATTGATTAACGTTTTCTCTCCTCGTTAGATCATGTTGTACAAATAGTCAAATCTGCATATTCTTATTTTGAGCAAATAAAGTGATGGATCATCTAATGCCATTTGGTACGCCAGATGATACGCTGTACAAAAGAAACAGATTGTTGCCTTTTTGTAAATTTCATCAAATATACAACAGTTGCAATTTTATATATCAAGCATTTTTTATTCTATTAGTAATTCTAATATACTTATTATTCATGTGTCGACGATATCAAAATTTATTGAATGTAGAATTACGTATCCGTTCGTTTCATAGTATGTTCGTTTTGAATGCATGAAGGATTGACTCATTGGCAGGTAGAGCATCGTTTATCAGATGCGTGCGCTTAGTTGAATGAATTTAAAATGCAACGTTATGATTAAGTTATCTTGCGAGTAACCTAGTACAGATTTTGGCTAATTCAAGAACAATGTTTAATTATCCCTTGGTGGCTAGTCATACACATTTATGTATTTATGTCGGTCTCTTCTAAGCTTTAACGACGATTGAAGCATTGTTTGGAAGATAAATGGCTGAATTATGCACGAATGAACATTCAATTTGAAGTTTTTGTCGATTTTACAACGGTATTTTGGTTGCTAGCAAATTATGAATAAAAATAAATCTAATGTAAAAAATTCCTAATCTTAATAAATACATTCATCACCATTAATCATCAAGTTTATCACAAAATTATCACTAAATTAGTCAAATGATGTGACTGATTAATCATCCTTTTTATAGAAATGAGCGCCAGCCTTTTCCAATAGCGGAAGTAACTTTCCTTCATTGTGCAGTGTGTAGGTGTCTGTACCTCCACCGATGCATTTGCCTCCAACAAACACTCTGGGGACCTGTGAATTAGAACGCAATTATGATACAATAATATACATTGGTAAAGGATGGGAGATGGTAATTAGTTGCATAATAAAGAGGTCTTAGTATGTCAATGATTGAAAGTTGAACAATGGATAATGAAAGTATTTGTTGGGTACCGTTTTTGCACCAGTCATTTTTCCAAAAAGTTCTTGCAACTTGTCGCAATCTGGTCTTTCATCAATGTCGATGCGGTTATAAGATAGTTTAATTCTTGAAAAAACATCTTCTACCATTGAGCAGTATCCGCATGTGGTTTTTGAAAAAACAACTACTGGATTGGCTTTTAGTTGTTGTTGGATGAACACATATTCATCTGATTTCACATCATCCTTCATTTTAATAATTGAAAAAATTGCGAGGTGTCTAAAATGGTACAATATTTAGACATTGTTTGGGTAAATAGAAAATTTATCTCAAACTATTAACTAAAAAAAGGCAAATAGGTATTATATAATAATAAAATTGATATTATTTTAAGCTGTTAGCAAAACACAAAAATATTATAAATAAAACAAAATAGAATGTAATCATGATGTAATGTGATGTAATCTCAATCAATTTGTTAATTTCTTATTTCTTATTAGCTCTTAAAAGTAAAAACAAATTTTATTATTAAATTTCAGTGGTAATTAAAATTTAAATTATATAATATAAATACTACAAATATAAATAAATACATCATATACAATATAATAATTCAATATATATATATATATATAATTATTAATTATATATATATAGTTATATACATACATAGCAATAAAAACATAAGATAAATTAAAAAGAGATATATATACACAGACAACACAAGTCACAAACAAAGACAAAACAACACGAGTAGTCATAGCGAGATAAACATAAGACATGAGGAACCAACAACGTACATCACTAAGAAGAGGTTTCTCTTTTTCAGGATCTGGTAAAATTTTTTTCCATGGATTCCAAAACTTCAAAATGTACGGTTGAATAAATCTGTGAAACACCCACAGAAAAACAGGAATTACAATGCAAGGAATGCACACCATTTTGTGAAGATCTGATCGTACTAAAATTACAACGAATTCTAATTATACGCAACGAACAGCGAACGCTGATTCTTTTTTTCGATTAGTTTTGAAATTGACGGTGAAGTCAGTTACGTTACAGACCACCTTATGTTATTCTAATTTTGCGCGATCTGCACCCTCGAATAATTATTTAAATCAGTTATATTTATTAATAAATGTATTTATACATTTAGTTTTAATGTATATATATATATATATATATTATAATTAAAAGCGACTAAAGTAATGCAATAGTAAATTGATGTTGGATATCTATGTTGCTTGCATGAGTCGCCAGTGGCTGATTAATCCCTCGAAAATATCGACTGCTGGACTTTTGATCATTATTACTCATTCCTGTCTCCGAAGTTTTCGAGACACACTAATATCTCTACGTTTCGGAGTTGCTCGTTAGTAATTTTTACGTTTGTGTTTTTTCATTTTTGCAATTAAATTTTTATTTCACCGGCATTTTTCATTTCATCGTGTGTAATGTAATGGTAATCATTTTTTAATTTAAGATTTAAAAGGTTGTTAAGCTTAAAAAACTTAACTGTCTAATATCAGATGAAACACAATTATTTGAAAAATTAAAAATAGTATACATTTTGTAAATGTATACTAGGGCTACTGTCACAATTTAATTAAATTAACAACTTTTAAATTAAATATTAAAAGTTGTACTACATTTAATAATTTTAATTTAAATTTAAGATGAAGTGGTATATCTTAAAAATTCAATATTTTTCAAAATTGACAATGTTGTTTTTAAAATCCAATCTAGATTGAATTTTTTAAATTAAAAATTTAAGTGGTCCCTTATTCTGCAGTTGCACTTTCTTAATCTAGCCATGGGTGACATCAACAAAGTCATAAAGGATATCAAAATTAAAACTGGAGTTGTCAAGAGGTTCCTGAGTTAATAAATTTTTTTGTTTTATTAATTTTCGCCTGATTTAATACTTTAATTTAACCAATTTTTAATATTTTGAAATTATTACTCGAATAACTCAAAAAATTAATTAAACAAATTGTTGTTTCAAGGTTGTACAAAGAAAAATTGTCTTATCAATGTGAAACCTCAAAGCTCCAAGAGAAGTTAGATGAAATGAGGTCAAAAAGTCCAGAGGATTACTCATTGAAGAAGCAGGCAAGTTGGTTTTCACAATTTGTAAGTCAACAGTTTGAATGTGATCTTAGCCTTCTTAAAGCTTAATTTCAGAGTTTATGCTTAAAAACTGACAGGAAGAACTTTTGAACGAGTCTAAACAAATGATAAGTGATTGTGATAAAAGGTTTGTTGCTGCCTGGGATGAGCTATCAAGAATCATGGTTACTTTTTTCTTCATTAACATTATTTTCATTAAGTGTAACTTTCAAGTTGCAATCTGTAAAAATTTATTTTTTATGTCATTGACTTGAATATCCAGGATATAGAGAAACATTTGAATGAAACAGAAGAGTACAAAGCTGCCCAAGTGGCTCTTGATGAAACAAGGTCATGTGCAAGCAAAGGCTGATTTCACTGCCACTCAGAATAATTGATTTTTGCAAAATTAACAGGAAACACTTATGAAATTAATAAAAACTCAAACTTATTATCTTAATACGATTAACCATCAGTCAAACAAAACTTAAAAGATAATCTTTCACTGAAAGAATTAGATTTTCCTAATATTTGTTTAAAAACATCACATTCCATGTTTGAGAATATGCAAACTTTTATTGAAATGTAACTATGATTAAACTTGCGACCCACAATGTTTCCAGCTATGTACAAACAACTGAAGTAACATCAAGCACCAAACAATTTATTTTAAAGGACCAATGGTGATTTATTAAAAAAATTACAATAAATTTGAATTATCTAAAAATTGTTTTTATCTGCAAACATGATAGCTAAAAATGCAAGGTTTATAAAATAGGATGGTGTTTCTCATGATCACATTTAAATAAAAAAAAACAAAGAAAATAAAAATTGATTAAATGTTTATAAATATAAATTTGATGTTAAAATTTGGTGTATAAAAATTATGACATATTCATTTAACAGTTGAACCGAGCCCCAGCTTCTTTGAGAAGAGGTACCAATCTATTATTCTGATGCAAGCTCTGTGTGTCCGATCCACCACCAATGCATTTCCCACCTATGAAAACCCTCGGCACCTATATTTATTTTATTTAATGTCCATGTTAAATTATAAACATAAACTCAATACAACACCAAAATTCAATGTAGCAGCTGTATTTATTTTCAACACCTAAATTTAATGTTCTAAATGAATTTACAACTTTTTTGCACAGCATAATATGAGTTTAGGATGGAATGCACTTGACACAAGTTATGAATGCATAGTCAGTCCAACACACTGCACTTAACTTAAATTTTTGTTTGGTGGCGCCGAGGCATGAATCCGCCAGAGTGAGCTTATCTCTATATCATGCATATATAAAATTTGTAAAGTTTATGTTAGAATAACAATAAATCGATAAAAGCTAGGTATGTTAAGTATGAAAACAGTTATCTAATCAACCCAAAGAATAACATCCATTATGCCAGTGATTCTCAGAGAGACAGAGACTCAAGTCTATTGAGCTACTTTCAACTCTGTTATGTTATTTTAAATGAAAACATAAAATGTTCAAGAATGATTTTTCACTTGCCCCATGCACTGGCTATGCCATGGAGTTGTCGAGATATCTTACTCTACCTCTGCTCTAAAATGATGTACACACTATTTTAATTTTACGAGCTAGACGTTTTATTTGAGTCAAATTGACGTTTAAAATTTAAAAAAATTTATCAAAAATGTCTTGATTTAATAACCGTTCTGGCTCCAGTTATCTGTTGAAGTGCATCTTGAATCTGTGAACAATCACTTCTGTTCTCAATTTCTTCAACTCCATATTGAACTCCAGTTGAATTAAGTACATTTTTTGCAGCTGTGCAATACGGACAATGAGATTTTGAAAAGACAAATACCGGATATTGATTTATTTTCGACTTAACAAATTCCATTTTCGACAAAATTTTGTTACAACTTTGATTGAATCCTTTAAAATGTTTAAAAAATATAGTATTTGGGCAGCCAGTATTTGTACGCTTGAAAAATTTTTGTTCAATAAATAATTTTAGCTCAAATATAAACGTTTTCAAGCGATCGTGCCAACACGCAAACCAGTCCGAAAGTCGGTCGACACGACAACAATGAATACCAAACACAGGATTCAATAAAACGAGACTTTCAACTTAAATCTACTTTTAATGCTTAAAACACTCAAGGACTGTTTTTTAGTAGGTAATATTTCTTGTTAACCAGTAAATAAGGAAAGTAAATTATTACATACAAATACACTTCGTGGTTATTTAAAATAACGAAAACATCATATTTAAATCAGATAAAATAGAGAAGTACCTATTTCTCTCTTGACTTTGTATAGTCATAAACAGGGCCTACAAGCCAATCCTGAGTCATACCAAATTTCTAAAAAATTATGTGTGAGGTTGTCAACTTTTTTGAGACTTTCAGCTCCGTTTTAGAAATCTATTTAACTCGAAAGCCTCTGCCACATGACCTTCTTGACGTTTATCAAATGTATATATGTTATATAGACATGTGACGGGCAGGGGTCCTCGTGTCACATTCAAACCTAGCCACTGCACTCACCGCAAAACAGAAATGAAGAACCAAGATTGAGTTATCAATTTCTGAAAATTTTCAATACTTGTTTTTATGTTCAATAACGTCATACCATGCGAATTTTGTTAAAAGGTTCGTGCACATTAAATTTTAAAAAGCTTCACACCTAGGCAGCACTTTCATTTCACGCGTAATGCTCGAAGAATCTAACAAAACCTTAGCCATCAATTAAATTGTGCACAGCATTTCTGAGCCAACAAACATCGCAAATAGCATTTAACAAAAGCCTGTTCTCTATTGCTAGAAGATATTTGACTTTATGTTTCCTACCCAACAGTAATTTTGAATTATGCGCCAACTTGAATCTCAATTTCTTTCAAATCACATCTACAATTAATTGCTATAGATTTATAAAAATTAAAAAAAATTTGTGCGCACGAGCTGTGCTAGAATTGTTAACCGTGATTGAAAAGTTCGTTGATTTTTAAAAAATAATTTTAAAGCACGGAAAAGTTGATGTACAGTAACAGCTTTTTTTTTCTGGATTTAACATGAATTGTCCTTTGTTTTCCCGACTTTAACGACGTTACTGAAACAAGTGTACTGATTCTTAATTTGCATATCATTAATAGAACAAGACCATAAAATTGTTTATTAGTATTAACTCTTTAAAGTTACAAGTTTAGCAATGGTAAGTTAAAAATTTTTCTCAAAAATATTTTTTTTAAAATGTTTACAAAATAAGTATCAACGTTAATATGGAATGTAACGATGTTCTTGAAATAGACTTCTTGCTCCAAGATTCTGTTGAAAAATGAAAATAATGGTATAAAATCACTGTATATTAAAATAACTTTAATTAGATTATTAAAGACAGTGTTTGAATTCGCTAGTCAGCACTTGAACCGGATTAGTGAAACAGAACCGGATCAGTGGGACGATGTGCAATGCAGGACATTTTAACGTTTGCAATGTACGAAATTTTCAAGAGTCAACACAGGTGTCAGCCGTAGAGTTTTTAAAATCAATTTAACACATCATTTATTTTTTTCAACAAGATGAAGTAAAATTAACACTTCTGGAGATTAGCACCCAACAGACGCACTCGGCGAATCTGCACTGCACCAAAGAAAGATGGAAACAATAGGAGGAACGATGACAAACTATAATAAAGTTTAAATTTGTTTTTGTAATGACTACCTGTCAAATGTTAGACAAAATCAAAAATAAAAAAATAATTTATTAAAGCGAGAAAACTTATTACGAATTAGCATACCAATAAAAATACATCACCAATGCAAAATAAAACTACTATGTATAACACTAAGACAGGCAACAAACATAAGAGGACACAAAGATACAACAAAAGATCAACGTCATAACAATTTACGAATTTATAAAAACATTTTTTTAAATAATGGAAAAACTGGAAGATATCGTTGCCTGTATATTGCACCGATATAATAGTATGTTATCTTTGGTAATATATATATATATAACAATGATATAATAATGTATATAAATTGTTTTTGGAATCACATTTGCTTCTTGGCTGTCGTCCACTGACCTTTCCTTTCCATCTCCCGTTCGTTCGTCCAGTGATGATGTCAACCTAGCATGACTGAGCGCTACGCTAAATGATTCTAATTTACGTCGATTGCCGTCCACATGTTACTTCAGTTTTGACAACTGCTACATTTCAGTTTTATTTATTCACTTGAATCTTATAATTTTAGTTTGAAACTAATATTTTTGTTAAATTGCACATTTTCTAAATAATACAAAAATTGTTTCAAAGCTTATTAAATGAAATAAATTTACGGATCAGTGGAAAGAATGGAGCATTTGGGAACAACTTTGTTATTACGATCGCGAAGTTGTGTCACGAAGCCTAATTCTGGCGCAGAGCAAACTATTTTATCCGGTAGAATCACCCATCCCTGAACGCACAATAACTTTCCAGTCCCGACCATCCACTGGGGATCATAAATAGCCAAACTTTCCTACTCACAACACGTTTTCCAGACTCGTTTATCTGCTTGCGCTCTTGCAAGCACTGCAGTGGAGACAATAAGGCTGAGTGAACAACTTAGCTGCATGCCAATGATGACATTTTTACTGACCGCAAAATAGCTAGGGGTGGTAAATTTATAACAACGTCCTCAAACACTTGCAAATAAGTCATTGCTGAATATTATTCGAGCAATTTTAATCAACACGCCCAACACTGATGCATAATCGTTCAACATCATGTCCTATTTATACAATCAAAACAGACAATATGAGATGGCGTAAAAATTTTAGGTAGATAAATAAAACTTAATCGATTTTACCATAAATTTAACACAGTTGCATAATGATTATTGTTTCGTTTATGTTGTGATTTTTATTTGTTATGAATGGCTTTGACGTGTGGATAACTAAATAAATTTCTTTCATTCAAACTCAAGAACTCGTACAAGAAGTTGACGAATAAGAAAAAATAAAGATGAAGAATATAATAAAAACAGCAAATAGCAAGAAGAAAACTGAAAATAAGTGAGGCACTTAAATGTTCAAATTAACTTTGAAAATAATGGCTATAAAATAACCAACACCAACACCAGTGCAGTAAAGGGACAACTTGGCAAACAACAACAAAAACAACAGCAACAGCATCAGAAGCAACAACAACGACAGCAGCACAGACAACTACAAAGAAAACAATGTAAATTAAAAACAAAAACCGCGGAACTAACAACTTCCTACAGCAAAAGAAAAAAACTAACAAACGAAAAACAGAAACAACTAAAAACGACAACAAAACAACAACAACAACAGCAACAACAACAACAGCAGGTAACAATGTGCACCCATCAAAACATCAATCATATGAAGAGATTGCAAGTGTCTCCACGTACATTCATCGAAAACTTACTTTATGGTTGTGGAGTGAATGGAAAGGAAAGTGCTGTTGATGACTGGCATGGAGATGACGACGCTCGTCTTCGAAAATATGGTTTCGATGTTGCGAATCATATTCCAACTTCGGCTCAATAATGTGGTATGTAGAAATCTTCTGTGTATCAAGAACGTGTGGTGGTTGGTGGTGGTGATAAAGAGGAGGTTGGTGGTATTGTAGGGGATGCTGTTGATGAAGAAGAAGGGACGGATGTACCAGTTGATACGTCACATTGGAGCGTTGTTCTTGAGGAGTTATAAGCAAGTGATTTGGTTGTTGATGCTGACGATTGAGTTGGTAGCTCTGATTGAGACACAGTTGCCAACCGATACGTTCTTCATCATTATGAATCTGCTCGCCAGGATGCAACATTGGTAGGACATACTTGGTTGGAGTTTCTTCCAAGAGAGGAAGTTTCACTGGAATGTTCAAGAGGGATAGTGCAACCTGTTTGCAAGGAGATGGGTGCTGGGTTGTTATTTACGGAGCAGCAAGTTAGAATTTAATCAAAAACTGGAAACATTTTGTTTAGTAATAAAAACTTAAAGGCTATTCCTGTAGAGTGTAAATCATGATCTTGACATTTGAAAATAATTATCAAATTTCTATTGATTAAATTAAATTTAATGCTTCATAAACGCTTCAAATGTTTCATAAACTAATGAATAATGCCTAAATATGAAGAAATAAATTACTCAAATAAACGTTTAAATGGATAGGAATGAAATAAGAATAAGTAAACAAAGATACATAAGATCTTCCACTCTTTATGTCCACCACCCCCCTCCCCCCCCC